ATCTAATTAATTATTGTGTGGATGTAGGAATGATTGTGGACTAATCATTTCAGTTATTTTAAGCAAATGATTAATAAATATTATTGAATTAAAAATAATTGAAAAATACCATCTAAATTCATTGTAAGGGTATTTTAGTCAAATAACATAATTTTAAAAAAGGAAAATTACATATTTTAAGAACAAATAATTCTCTAAACTTTAAAGTTTTGATTTTTGTTGATAATAATTATATTAATTCGGACATTCTAAAAGAATATATTCATATTATCTTGAAAAAACCATTATATTCTGACAGATTATTATAAACATATACTATCAAAATTAATATTTTTTAATGAATACAAATTTTTTATGAAACGGATTTTAATGTTTTAGAATCAGTAATTAGATTCAATCTTACAGAATACAACTATGAACATAAATTACATTCATTCTGAAAGAATACAACTAATAATGATTAACAATTACATTTATTTTTAAGGGAATACAATTGAGAGTGGTTAAACATCAAATAAAAACATTGTAATCTAAGTACAACACTAATACATTCTTAGAGAATATTGTTGCTAATCCATTCTGGTAGAATATATTGTTAATCCATTCTGAACGAATATTGTTGTTACTTCTCACATGTTCACACTATGTACTCCCATCCGATGTGAATGACACAAAGAACTGGTTTCCAATTTCGTTGACCTGGTTTTGTTTAAGAAAAATATAATAAAATGTTAATAGTCATAAAAACAGATGACTAAAGATTTGACTAAATGATTGCTCACCTGAATGTTCCAAATCTTGCAGTTGTATATGTGGAACATTGTAGCATAAACAATCATTTAACCCACAACAAAATGCCACAAAAATAAGGAAGAAAAGATTACCCAATGTTGTGGTGGTCTCTTCCATATAATTCTTTGACCACTTATTTGATTACACAGTGATCCAAGCATTGACACATATAAAACCTTTTTGCATTACACGGTGATGATAGGTAATAGAAATATATTAAATTTAAATAATCTTCTTTCTTTCTTGTGAACTGTGTGCTTGGCAGATTTTAACCAACCAATTTTCAATTACAAAAAACAAATAAATAAAATAAACCTCAAATCTCTTTTTGAACAGTCCAACATACGAACTAAATCATAGGAAAATATTGAATTAATGGCACAAAAATCAACAATGGATTGTTAAGTGTCTGAAAAAGATTTTTCATTTTCGAAATCCATAATTAGTGAGTTCGTATAACATCAAAACTTATCAAAATTTGTTTTTAGAATGAAATTTGATTTAGGGTTTCTTGTGAAACCAAAGTTGACATACTTGCTATCGTGGCCAAATAGAATCATAGTGATTTCTTGTGAGCTCTTGTGTTAGGGTTAGGGGCAAAAACGAACTGAAAGCAAAACTGACATACCTGCATTTGGAACCTTCCCACACCGTTATCTTCTTCGGTCCGCCCTTATTTACGTGGGGTCCTAAAAAAGACAAGGTATTCCAATTCTTTTTGAGAGACGATGTTGCGTAATCTGCTGAACCACAATCGATTTCGGACATCACTGGTTGATCAGCGACACAATTTTCCGGTTCAACCCTTCTTCTCCGGCGGGAGCAAACGCCGGCAGGGCTCAAGCCATCCATCTGTGTTCTATATTCTGATTGGTTTCTTCTTTGGGGTGATTCTGGTTTCTGATTCTGGTGATATACACGTGCTCTGGTGAATTTCTAATCATTATTGATCCTTCCAATGGTTTCTAATCATCCCAATTCCTTGTGCGGTGAGGGTTGGAAGAAAAACAAGAATCACGTAGGAAAGATTTCCAATGAAAGACTTCATGCAATACCCAGGTCTGAGTCACATTCCATTTATATTACGAATTTCCCAGATTATATCATTTATTCCGATATCCGGCGTACATGTTCTTAGTTTGGAAAAGTTTGTGATGTATTTATCTCCAAAAGATGTCACGTATGGGGAAACGTTTTGGTTTTGTTAGATTTTTAGGCAATGTTAATGTTGATCATATGATCAAGAATCTTTGTGACGTGTGGTTCGGGTATCACAAGATGTTTGCTTCTGTACCTCGTACTCCTAAGAAAAATCTTAATTTTCATAGGGAACCACCTAAGGTTGAGAAGAAACGGGAGAATTTTTCTGTTTCATATGCAAATGTAGTAAGAGGTGGTCATAGTGAGAAATCTTCTTCAGAAAAAGAAGATTCGGTTATTGTTCTTGCTTCTGGGAATTTTGTTATCGACAACAAAAAGTTAGCGTGTTTAGCTAAGGCTCGTGACTTTAGTACTCTTCCTAATTTGGGAATGTTGTGCCATGATGAAGGTTTTGATAATTTTACTATTCGATATGTGGGTGGCCTGTGGGTGATGTTTGAATTTAAGTCCAAAGAAGCATGTAAAAACTTTTTGACCTGTGACGCGGTTAACCATTGGATTTCTGAAAAAAAGAAAATGGGATAAAAACTTTGTGCCATCCGATCTTATTGTGTGGGTTGATGTTGAAGGTCTTCCCTTACATGCTTGTAGTAAAAATTCTTTTAGACATATTTTGGCCAAATGGGGCTCAATTGCTCATCTTGATGATAACATTGGAGAAGACATGTATAAATCATGGGTATGTATTCTCACCTCATTTCTTGGTATAATTTCTGAAGTGATTAAAGTTAGTATTGATGGTGAAATATTCCCCATTCGTATCAAAGAAGCTCCCGGTTGGAATCTTTCGTTCGTGTGTGAGTTTAATAATATTGATAATGATAGTGTTGATGCATTTCACCTATTTGAAAAAGAAAAAGATGGTAGTAATGATTCATTACTTGACAAGGAAGATTCCTCACTAGATCCTTTCGGTATTTATGATGTAATGGAAAAATGGATAAGAAAGAGAAATTAAAAAAAACGACCAAGCTGCATAAGTGTTCATCTCAGGGGCATTCTCGTAATTCTGCACAAAAATTGAAAAATCTAACTTGCGTTCGCCACCTCCTGTTGCTGTTTCTGTTTCAGCTCATGTTGAACATCATTTTCCTGATAATTATGACCCAGTGCAGCCTCATTTAAAGCTAGGAGTTCTGCCGACAGCAGCACCTGATGCCACTGTTCCGACAACAACTCCTGCTATCATTATTGCGACAACAACCCCATCAGTTGTTCCTGATGCTTCTTCGACAGCCTCTCCTCCTATTTTGCCTCCTCCTCTTGAAAAAATTGTGAAGTTAATCAGAATTCAGGGGGTAATAATGATGCTTTTATTGAAGATTTTCCTTCTAAGGCTCGGGTCCATAGTAACTCAATGGGTTTTTCTGGAGGTTTTGGACGAGTTTCGGGTATTAATTGATCTGAAGATGATCTTTCTCATCTTCCGGGTTTCTCAAATCAGTGTTTTCCTTTTTTGGGGAGTAATCAAAGTGTATCAGATGGTGTTAATAAAAATAATTCATTTTTAAATGAATTACAAAAAACTATTGCAGTGGAATAATCGTTGGGCTATAATATGGACTGTTGCATGGATCGTGTTATATAAATTTTAAAAGGGCACATTGAGAGACAATTTCCAAAATGAATTGTATTTCAATAAATATTCAAGGGTGGGCTCCTTAGATAAGAGGATTTGGATTAGAAAATTGTGTAATCGTCATAAAGTTAATTTTTTGGCAATACAAGATACTAAGTTGGAGTGTGTTGACTTAGTTATGGCTAGATCTTTTTGGGGTAATTCTTCTTTTATGCACGCTTTTTCTCCTTCTCATGGAGCTTCTGGGGGTATTCTTGTTATTTGGGATTTAGATTCTATTTCCCAAAATCGAGTTTTTGTTCATGATGACTGTGTTGCTATTGAGGCGGTTTGGGTTCGTTCAGGTCTTCAAGTGATTTTTATTGTCGTGTACGCTCCTCAATGTTTAAATAATAAAAGACTTCTTTGGAACGAAATTTATATTACTATGAAGTTAGAGATGATTCTGAGAGATTGGGATCGAATTTCAATATGTCTTATGCGCGAGTTTTTAATGATTTTATTAACTCTCTTGATCTTGTGGATGTTCCTTTGGGTGGACCCCGTTTCACTTGGAGCGATAAATGGGGTTCCAAATTCAACAAGCTTGACAGATTTTTGGTCACGGAAGGTTTTTTGGATTTGTTTCCTCATCTCTCAGCTATTGTCTTGGAAAAGAATATTCCTGATCACCGTCCTATTCTTCTGCTGGAGCAACGGGAAGATTATGGTCCGATACCTTTTCGTTTATTTCATTCATGGTTTGATATGGAGGGGTTTGATAATGTTGCGCGGGAGGCTTGGTCTACCTCGTTGGTGGGGACAGAGTTGACTAACCCTTGGGTCATTTTTAAGAAAAAACTTTAGTTTCTTAAATCTAAACTCAGTGTGTGGCATTCTAATCACCTGGACATGGTGGGTATTAAAAAGAAGAATTTGCAAGATTTATTAGAGTCTATTAATATTAGTCTCATGGAGGATGAAGGGTCTGCTAATTTGAGAGAGCAAACAGTTTCCTTATTGAA